AAGGTTGGCAATTTAAACTCAGAAGCAGATCCAGAGGAGGACGCTGTGGCAGTCAGCTTTCCTCAGGATGCCAGCCCTGGAAACCCCATGGGGCAGACCTGCTGTCTCACAGGGTCTCTGTGAGTCGGAGCGGACTTGGCAACACGTTGACAACAACAGGCTTGTAAGGTTGATCAAGGGAAATCCAGGATTGGTACACATTATTCACAGTGGGGTTTGAGAAATTTCCTGGATGATCATCCACTTTTCTATGAATTCGTCTTTAATAGGTTTTTGAATGCACTAGATTTGGGATAGAAGGAAGGCAGGACTAGAACTTTCTTGAAAACAAGGTAGCCGAAACTGAGTAGCTCATTAATATTTGCCTGTCTGGGAAATAGGATCAAAGAGTTTCAAAGTATGATGAAGACGCTCCTAGAACTAGACTCATGTTTCCATTCATATAGAAATGTATGTATCAGAGGATGAATGGAACACTGTGTTTGAACCCTGGAGGATGCAAGTCAGACCTTCAGAAGGAAGAAGTTAGAAGGTTCACTCTATGCTTCCTTTTTTGAAGTGTCACCTTTACTGACCTTGAAAATCTTATTCATACCCAAAGCTAAATCTTTAAATACAAATGTGCCTCAGAGTTGAGTTAAACCTGTTAGTAAAATCATTGGGTCGCTGGGAAACAGTCTTTGTGTGTGTCTGGAGATGAGAAAATGGCTTTGTGCAGTGAAGACAGCAGCTCATCTTATCCCCATCCATGGGCTTTATGGAGCAGTGTGTCCTTTAAGACAAGAGATGCTTCCACATGGGAAGGTGTCTGGAATTTCTTTACCTGTTGATTGCTTTGAATGTGTTGTGTCTTGTTTATGTGATGGGTTCCTTGGCCATTAGGTAAAATATTGGTTGTGTCATACAGTATTTGGAAAAATGGTCAACTTTGTTGCAAAGTCCTCTGTAAGCCTGCTTGCATTCCTTTAGCTTACTTTTTAGTATGTGAAAGAAAACCCAAAAACAAATGTAAAGGCATAGTTAGTCAGCTTCTCCTTTGCACATCCCCAGAGCTCTACATTTCCTGCCTCCACAGAACACCCACTATCAATTTTGCAATTGCTTACTTTTTAGATCCTTCAAATTACATGAAATTTGCAATAAGCTTACTTTTTAGATCCTTCAAATTACATGAAATTTAAACATAAGGAAAATAAGGATCATGATGATTGTAATAATTGCTTTCCTTGAGAGGAAGTCAATTTCCAAGAGGTGAGGATAGATTGTGTCTATAAGAGCCTGATGTAAGAGTGTTCAGTGCACATTATACACATTGATATATTTGTTTGACACTAAATTGGGAACCTATATTTATCACGTAACTTTGCTTTCACAATATCTACTTTATGATGAGACAGAAAGGGAAGCCAATCAGTGTCGCTAACACTGAGGAGAGGACTCTTCAGGGCTTGAGTGAAGGTCTTTGGCTTCTTGGGTGAAATGATCATCGATCGTGATACTCTGGGCATATAATGGTTGGGGTTCTATTGTCTTGTTTTAATCGTGGTTTTCAGTGGGGAGACCAAATCACAGCAAGCGGCCATATCAGTGAGTCTCCATCCATTTGTTAATAGAATCCTTATGTTTTGATAGGAGCCCTGATGTGTAGTCAGTTGCACATTGGGCTGCTAACCACAAAGTCTGCAGTTGAAAATCACCAGCTTCTGGAAAGGAGAGAGATGAGGCTTTCTACTCCCGGAAAGAGTTAGAGGCTCAGAAACTCCAACCCCAAAGGGGTCTTTCTTCTCTGGCCTTACTAGG